CGTGAACAGTACGAGTCGAGCGGGCGAGCCGACGAGCCGCTCAACTCGGTTAACACCACTATGTACGTACCTCAATAGGAGCCTCTGGAGTCTATTCAATACCTGTAAGAATCTGTGGTGGTTCTTATGTTCGAGCTTCTAGAGTTATCTCTATAGGAACCGTAGAGGGAGTTGGAGTAGGCCCTGTAGAGGTAGAAGCAAACTCTTTCACTGGTCTAGCAATAGCAAGTGTGATAATTTCAATACCCACAATCTCACGCGAAAAAGGGTACAAATTCCGGCCCCTAATTATTAGCAACCAAGTGTTATTTGGTCGCTAATACTTGGAATCTATAACCAAGTGTTCGTCGCAATAAGGCATAAAACAAATTGGTCCATTCTTAGCCTACCAAGAACTTTAGCGACCAATATTTGGTCGGTGGACGTATCATATAGCAGCCATTTTTGTGTGATTGTTGAAACTATGGTCGGTGGATCTTTATTTATTTATTTTTTTGTAGCGATAAGAGCACAGTTGAAACTGGAACCCACTACTTTCTTGACTAGACAAGTGTCACCTTACCTTACTTTATCAGCCTCGCTAGTAGTGGTCTCAGTAGGAGGAGGGGACAAAGAGGGAGGAGGCACAACTACTGGGGGCAAGAGGTATCTCCGAAGTACACTATTCGGAGGAATGGTCCAAGTGTCTATAATAAAATTAATAAATTGGCCTCGTTTTATATATAACTAACTATTACCAAAAATCATGGTTATCACCACGCTCAATATAAAATTTATCAGGCAATCTATGCTTCAAATTCACCTCTATACATATCCTAGCCTCACTAGGTCGTCGCAAATTCAAAGTGGCATCATCAATCTTCAAGGGTATCCTATAGCCCTAAATAAAGCAAATAAAAGTCCCTTGGCACACAAATATACCAGAAGCGAAGGAAATAAAACTCGGACTAGAGTAATCATAGTCTCGTGCTTGAGTTTATAGTTACATAGCCATTTAAGGACCTCTTCGAAGACCCATCAATATATTATGAAGACTTAAGAATAATCTACTATGTTATTCCTCCTGTTTAAGGTGTATAAGTATGTTTGTCGGGTCAATCAAACCCAACTAAAGCTATAATGGAAACAAAATTATGAAAAATCTCATGTACATTTCTCATGGTCGTCTTACCGTGGGATAATTTCCCTACAAGTGTAAACTTGTATTGCTCAGCCAATGTAGCCTCCTCCATTGCAGTCAAATCAAAGGTCTGTTCACCCAAGTATGTGAAGGATTCCTTAGAAAGGAACCCAATAGTAGAATAATCGATCGATGCCAATAGAATTATAGCAAACGATTTTCTCGAACTCCGTATTACTTGAGAAAGATCCTGACAACCATAAACTACAGTGGTTTATGTCTTTCGATCCTAATCGAGCAAGCAGTGTTCCTCATGTAGTAAAATCAATTGTGGAAATGTACTTGGATAAACTGGGTGGCCATTTAGGACACAGTGAGTGGTGAGTGGGTCCCACACGCTTCCCACGTCGAAATTTTCTGATTTTTTACGTGATGGTGTGGAATTTCATGATGAATCTAATGGTCAGGTGTGTGAAGCTGCTAGAGGTATGTGTAGAGGTGTCAATCCGAGTGGTCCGGGCCGGGTTGGCCCGCCAACAGGTGAGCCCGATCATGGCCCGCGTAAAAAAAAGCCCGCCCGCTGCGGGGTCCGGG